TGAATGAAAATGAATGAAATGAATGAATGAAAAATACTTTATTTATCCCAGAAGGGAAATTCAAACTGTATATGCGTCCTACTGGCTCCTTTTGTAAATATATGTATATATTCTTATTTGTCTTTTTATAATTTTACTTTTATACTTTTGCACCACTGGAGTTGTCTTTTAATTTCGTTGTACTTTGTGCATGATGACAATAAAAGCATTCTATTCTGTTCTACTTTAGGAGCAGGTAAAGAGGTTTATTTCCATATGGTCTGTGGCTCTACATCCATTAAACACCTGCAGAAAGCTGCCTGCAGAAAACTCCATTTTTTATTTTTTATTTTTTTTTAACATCTCTGCTTATCTGAATTCGAAGTCAAAAAGGCTCCAACTCAAAAACCTGAATTGAGAGGGTCACAGTGAAATTACACTTAAGCTTTAAGTGAACCTAAGAACAGCCCTGACACAGAATAACAAATGAAATTAGCTTATTATTGCATTGTAATGCCGTTGTATAACTATTTCGTTTAAAATTGACTAAAAACCGTTTAATCCATGCCAAATTAACAGAAAATCCATTGGTTTAATTGAGCTAACACATGAAGCAGCAGCTCATTTAAGGCACTAATACAACAGCAAGTAACACAAAGTATGCAACAGCCTGACAAATACTCCAATATAAGGAACCTGTATGTCTCGTATTATTCCTGACTCAGAACAGTCTGTTAGACAGCTAGCACAGTCAGCACGAGCGAATGTGGATTAGCCGTTCGGCTAGCGTTGTTAGCACGCTAACGCTGTTAGCTCAAGTTAACTCAGTTAACAACGCCACAATTTAACATAACAGCTAGCTGCCTCATGCAAGGAGTTAACTCACCAGCGCAAACCTGTTAGCGGAAAAAACAGCCTCAGACCTCTCTAGACTCAGGTGGAAAACAACAAGAGTCCCGGTCCTTTGCCACCCCGCCATCACAAACTCAACAGCGGTTCACTATCGGAGTCATAGGTCTGCTTCTCAGCGCCCTTAAACCGGCGCACAGACCGAAACAATCCGAGGCAGGACAAACAACCGTATTGGTTACAAGGAATTAAAGCCCCACCAACAACTGGCTGCTCATCAAAGTCATGCAACAAATTAATTGATTAATTAAATAAATAAAATCATAAAAAATATGAATAAATAAATAACTATTATTGTTGTATTTATTTGTCTTTATATTTCTACTTTTATTATCCTTTTCTTTTATGGATTCATTTATGATAAATATTGCCTTATATTGCCACATTATTTAAATTTCATTTTATTTATTCTTCTTTTGATTTCCACTTTTATTTTATTATTCTTTTATTGATTTATTTTTGTAATTTGGCACTCTCACTGCTCCATACAAACCACACATACAGTATATCTAAAAANTGGATACTTCAAATTGTGCCCCAAACCAAACATAGAAAACCAAGGAAGTTTAAACATGTCGGGATCTTGTTCACGAGTGATGGAAAACTGGGATGCAAGGTGGACAGGCAGCTTGGTGTGGCGTCAGCAGTAATGCGGGTGCTGTACCAGACTGTCGTGGTGAAGAGGGAGCTGAGCCGCAAGGCGAAGCTCTCGTTGTACCAGTCCATCTTCGTCCCAACCCTCACCTACGGTCACGAGCTCTGGGTCATGACCGACAGAACGAGATTCCGAATACAAGCGGCCGAAATGAGCTTCCTTTGCAGGGTGGCTGGGCTCAGCCCTAGAGATAGGGTGGGAAGTTCAGACATCCGGAGCTTGAAATAGCGCCACTGCTCCTTCTCATCGAAATGAGTCAGTTGAGGTGGTTTGGACATTTGATTTGGATGCTTCTGGGAGGCTTCATCTGGAGGTTTTCCGAACACGTCCACCTGGGAGGAGACCCCGGGGAAGACCCAGAACCCACTAGAGGGATTATATTTTGAGCAGAAACATGCATATCAGTGGCCTGCTGGAGGTCATTTTGCAGGGCTCTGGCAGTGCTCCTCCTGTTCCTCCTTGCACAAAAGAGGAGGTAGTGGTCCTGCTGCTGGGTTGTTGCCCTCCTACAGCCCCCTCCACATCTCCTGGTGTACTGGCCTGTCTCCTGGTATCTTCTCCATGCTCTGTACACTGTGCTGAGAGACACCTTCTTGCAACAACTCGCACTGATGTACCATCCTGGATGAGCTGCACAACCTGAGCAACTTCTGTGGGTTGTAGACACCACCTCATGCTACTTCTAGGGGTGAGGGCACTGACAAAATGCAAAAGTGACCAAAACATCAGCCAGAAAGGATGAGAATAGAGAAATGGTCTGTGGTCACCACCTGCAGAACCACTCCTTTATAGGGGTTGTCTTGCTAATTGCCTCTCATTTCCACCTGCTGTCTGTTTCATTTGCACAACAGCAGGTGAAATTCATTCATAATCAGTGTTGCTTCGAATGGACAGGTTGATTTCACAGAAGTGTGATTGACTTAGAGTTACATTGTGTTGTTTAGGTGTTCCCTTTGTATATAGTGTATATGCTCACTACTGTAATTCTACTGTAAATCCATTTACAGGAGCAAACCTGCCCATTAAAAAACCAGCCAAAGGCACAGTCGATTACTTTTTCTGTTTCTTAAAACTGTTCTGTGGAAATGAGGGTAAACAGAAAAATAAGAAAAACGGCATTATGGCAACAAAAAAAGTCATAATATTTTATGTAAAACTGAGATATTTTCAAAAATGTCCACTTCTTGCCAAGTTGACTCCATTTTTATCGTTCTCTTACAAAAATAACAGTTAGCTGTTAACCTGTGACAAAGAAAGAAAGAAAGAAAAAAAAATGACAGGCTGATTTTTTCTTTTTCTTTTTTAGAAGGAAATATTCTCTCAGAACAACCTAACTCTAAGGTACCAACCATGAAACAAAGGTGCCATCTAGTGATGACAACAGACAATTGTCTGTCTGTAAATACTCAGTGGTGAAAAGTAATTAAGTACATTTACTTAAGGATGTACTTAGTCTCAAGAAGACAACAGATTCAATGCACTTTGACATGGATTCTTCAAGTCCCTGGAGCCCTACTGGAGGGAAGAAACACCTTTCTTCTAACAGATATCACCTTATTTGGTGTTTTGTTGATAGTATGGGCAGCGCTGTCCAGCATGTCGTTGCAAAAATCTCTCATAGATAGATAGATAGATAGATAGATAGATAGATAGATAGATACTTTATTGATCCTTTCACAGGAAATGACTCGTTACAGTAGCTACATTTAAAGGGAAAACAAAGGACAGAAATATTTCATCATAGGATAAAGGTGATCACTCAGAATGACTTAATGTTCATTTACAGTGACTCCTTCCTCTAAGATGGCAAATAAGCTAAATAAGCTAATAAGCAACATGCCCCTCACTGAAAAACAGAGCCACCAGATCCTCCCACTGTAGGTCAAGGGTTCAGTTTTTCCATTAGTTTCATTCATTCATAATAATGTTTTTATAGTTCCTCAAGTGCAATAACATAATATAGCACCATAATATACTCTGGGACCAGTTTACCATCTTACTGAATGAATGAAACTGAAATTGACCTGTGAATAATAATAAATAATAATAAAATAATAATAAGAAGGCACAGCAGTCATGTTGTCAGTGTGTGCAGTAGGTGGCGCTAAAGCCCCTTTACGCTACCATTAAGACGACGACGAAGAAGAACATGCGGAAGTGAGCTGCTGTTTAGCTTTCTTGCATTTCTACGCTGGGAGTTTTTTCCTCTGTAAACGTTTATTATTTACATTCTAACTTACCGTTGAAAGATATGGCTATTGTAGAACAACAGCTCAGCTTGTAGGCTCGTTGTTTGAGTTTATTTTAACCCACGTCGTCGTCAGAGAGAGTTTCAGAGGAGGATTCTGCTGCCATCAACCCCTGTTGTGGATTATAATGTTATGACAATGGACTCCATCTCCCACTCTCATATTGTTAGAAGTAAATACAGTTCTCTATCTGTAACCCTTTCATTTCCCAAGACATTGTTTTTGCTATGAGCACCAACTGATGTTTGTTTCCCAGAAGTATGCCACAAAAGGACAAGTGAGTGGAGAACCTGCAGCTGATCCTAAACAATGCTGGGACGTGTAATGTCAGTGTGGTTCTGGTTTGGGTCAGATCGTTCTGGATTCTGCCTGGGAACATGTTTATCAACAGCACTCATGCTACTGATGTATGCTGGGAGCATCCAGGCAAGTCTGAGTGTAGGTCCAGGAGGAGACTTCCCAAGGTTCAGAGGTAACTCATCATGCGTCCCAGCAGATCTTATATGTCAGAGTTGGTACATCAAAGGATTCAGTGTATTTTCTCTCCTCCTCAGATGTGTGTCTGTATGCTCTCAGTCATGATGAGCTGACTTCCCTGCTGGTCAGCGTTGCTCTCCTGCTGTTGTTCGGACCATGTCAGGAGCGTCGCTGGGGGACGGTCGCCTGGCTTGCCCTCTCCATCCTGACAGTGGCCCTTCTGCCTTTTCTCTACGCTGTGCTCCTCTTTGCTGGTGGGGGCGAGGCGAGTCGGATCTGTGGGTTCTCTGCCGTCCAGCTCGCTCTGTTCACAGCTCAGTGTCGACAGGTGACACAAAGGCGGCTGCTGAGGTGTTTGCCAGTCTGGTTTCTGCCCTGGCTTGTCCTGCTGATTGGCCTGCTGCTGCTGCCCGGGACACCTGCCATGCTTCACTTCTGTGCGATATGCATCGGACACAACTGTATCCTTCAATGTTTATGCAGTCATTTAATGACACTGTTAAAGTTAAGAAAAGTTAAGGGAAGCTCCACTTACATTACGGATTCCATATTTCTTTTTCTTTTTTGTGTCACATTTTATTGATGTGAAACCATGTATGACATTTTAGGTCATCCCTCAGTGGTGCCTGAACCCCACTTTGAAATATGTGAAAGCTTTCTGTTTTTGAAAACGTGTTTTTTGTGATTTCTTGCATGTAAATCACATTAGAACAGGTCTACATCTAAAACCACTCTACTTAGATTGGTCTGGATTGTCTCAGAGAAGCAAAACATCTGTCAAAACACAGGCTCTAATTTGTGTCTATTTGCAAAAATTCTTTTTCTGCATCTACACCGCATTTGACCAGGTTTAGAAAAAAAAAGAAAGAAAGCAAGCAGTGAAACCTTCTTCTTTTGCATTTTTACAAATAGAATAAAGGTTTCCCAAATGTAAAAACTGGTTCGAAGAATCTTTAGCTTCCCAGGGACTATCCAGTCTAGATTTGACACATCTCGTATAGTGGCTTTAAAACTGGACTTTGTCTAATTTGGTCATGATGCCAAAAAGCATTTTTACAAATTGACAATTTGAAAGTGGGCTTCAGATACAAACAAAGGTCTACCTAAAAATGTGTAGACGCAGTTTGACTTCAGGAAAATATGGCGGACACTGTCACTGAGATCCTTGTATCTACAGAGCTGGAAGTCACCTTCAGTGTCGTCATTCAGTGAGTGTTAAAGAACATTATACTGATGCTTTTAGAGGAACAGTAAACTTTCATTAGGTATTTTATCCAGCTTTGACTGATCAGATCTCTGCTGTAGATGGTGTACAGCTAATTGTCACTTTTCTCCTAGTTTTGTTGAACCTCTAAGGGTGGGACAATGTGCGACTTTATCATTCTTAGCAGTTTATAAAAAAAGTTGACGTCACATAATTTCCACCATCGCTCTGACAGGATACAGTAATTGAGAACAATGACCCAAGTGTGCAGCCTTTTATTGTATATAACCAAGGCTAAAAACTTTCCTCAGTGGCTTTTATGCCTGGACACCCCTTTATGTATTTTTTTGTTGTTTCAGGCCTTGTTGTTAAATGAGGAATAATTGTGTTTCAAATATAATTGCCTCATATTAAAGATGTGTAATGTATTTGTCAGGGTGTGAGCTAATAGTGCCCTGTCCAGCCAAGTTCATAACAATGTTTATTTCTACATAAACACCACAGTGCCTCCTTCTCAAGTCTTTTGTTACAAAACTTAATGTGCCTCGTAGATCGCCAACCCTTTATTGGAATGGTACAGGAGCTGGAGGAGGCCAGGCTCTTGGATTTCATTCCTGATTGGGTGTATGTTCGCACCTCAGTCAGGTTCAGATTGCCCTTCTACGCTACCTCACAAAGGTGTGATTTAACTCTCATCAGATGTTTACCACCTGCATTCACGGCTGTGGCAGAATTAATAGTTTCTGCTTCATCTCTTGTCACAGATCTAGATCACTTTCTCAGATGATGCCTGTAGATCAGGCGGCTGCTCCCCCACTGACTGAGCCCTCCGCTATGAACCACCACCCATGGGTTGAACCATTGCCTTCCTGGGTAATGGAGGAGTCTGCTGCTCTGTCTGAGGCAGAGGTGCTGGAGGAGCAGATGCTCAGAGCAGGAATACTGGCCTCATTACAGGACGCTCCTGATGACCCTGATGCAAAAGTGGAGGTGCCCAAATCATCCGTGTCGTCTCTGCGGTTAGTAATAACCAAATTGCTAGTTAAGCAGTTGACTAAGTAGCTCTGTTTTTTGTTGTTTTGTTTACTAAATACTCCTCATATTACTCGCATAAGTAACTAAAAGGCTAATGTTTCCTCTCAGACTGCAGCAGCTGGAGAAGATGGGCTTCCCCACAGAGAAAGCTGTAGTGGCTTTAGCAGCCTCGAAGCAGCTAGATGGCGCCATCTCCCTGCTTATTGAAGACAGCGTTGGAGAACAAGCCGTGGTGGTATCAAAGGGAAAGAGTTCCTTGCCACCGCACAGCAGCTAGAAGACCTCACACTCCTGGACAGAGTCTGTAAAGATGTGTGCACTCGTCCAGTAAACTGAACATACATATTATGCTTGGGTTTTGCTGAGCTTCAGTGTTTTCCCTGTGGGCTATACGTAGAACTATTTTAATGATCACAATCCCTCATAAAAAGATGTGATGAAAGTCTAAACACTTGCAAACTTGACCCACTTTATGTACCTGCACATAGAAATGTACGTCGGAGAGAGCGTGTGTCATTTAATTATGTCATAGAAGTGTTTAATGAATACTGTTGTACCACAAATGAAAACAGGTGACATGTTTAAAAAAAACCAATGAACATTATTTTATTACACCGATCATCTAGACAGGATTATCTTAACACAGTAACACATTTGCAAGAAAAAAAAAAAAAGGTCCAAAATATGAAATGGTTACACGACAGCATACAAAATAAACTACAATTCATCATTTTAAATAGTTTCACAATAAGTTTGATATAAGATGAAAAAAAGTCTTTTCATCAGGACAGTTTAAGCAGTTTACCAACACAACAGTGGTAAAAACATGTTCAAGTTCTATTAACAGTTTTGCTATTTCCTCTGCGTGTATGTGTGTGTGTTTAACATCTTGACACAGGCAGCCAGATTTGCAAAGAGTTATTTCAATGCATTTTGTTTCCAACACTGTTCACGACTGTTCCTGCTGATATGCAGCCAAATACAAATGTTTGTGCACTTTTTTTTTGTCTTTTGTTGCACAGATTAAATGTCAAAATGCTATTCTCTTTATTGGTACGTACTTTAAGGGGGGGGAAACTCACTCACACTTACACCAGAAAAACTACAAATCACTGTTAGCAACACATACAGTATCTCAGTTAGAGTGGAGATGACTTCATCTTTTTAGTGCACTACATAACATTGAGTTAAACGATATGATAGAAGGATAACAAAATTAATACTAGAAGAGGAGGTTTGTTTGTGTAATTGTGTCCTGCAAACTGTACATGCGCAATATACTTAAATAATGGACTCTCTTCAGATTGCAGTTATATTATGAAAGCAATACAAACTTAAATCCAGTCTCTTTTCTCACGTCTGATTTCTCCTTCACTTGATTACACTAAATGACCCTTATTGTCCAGAACAGTTTGTAACTTGAGCACCACAGAAGATTCAGATTTCCTTTTTTTTTTTTTAAACACCTTAATCTGAGGCTTTAGTTCTGAAGCCACAGAAATGAGATACAGAAGGAGCTGTTGGGAGTGTTGTGGAAAGGTTAAATGTTTGGTTATGGCGATGGGTGGGTGTGTGGGGGGGTCAAACTAGTTCTCAGGTTCCCGATGGATCAGGGCATTGCGGAGTATCAGTGGAGTTTCCCTGAGGTGTCCCCCATCCTAAATCTGATGGTAAAGCCCACAGAGGGTATCAGATATGGTCTAAATCTGTTGAGAGCCGATGAGACCTAGGAGGGGAGGTCAACCCAGCCTGTGATCCTCAGGGTGAGCAGGGGGAGGGGGAGCTACTTCCCTCGAACCTTGGTGTCGGAGGACAGAGGAGAAGCAAGTCGATGTGGAAGTGCACCTGCTCGCTTATCTCTGTAGAAACTAGGGGAGGCTGTGCCAAATGGTCCATCCCCAGACCCTAGATCAGGCTCTGTTGAAGAAAGACAGCAGTTGGAACGGGTCCTCCCTGTCCATCAGGGTGTGTGGACATAATGTGCACTCTGTAGTCCTAATCCAACTCTCAACCTGAAGGTATTGTAAGTGACTGTCTTATTTTGATTGGCCAGTTGTATTGAAGCTGTTCATTAACTAACCTGCTGTAGGTGCATTTGACTAGTAGGGCTGTATCAGTCGTTTTTGTTATCAGTAAACTGGTCAGTTGCTCTCTTATACAGTTGTGAACAAAAGTTTGCAGAAATTTGTGAAGACCATGTATATGATGGCAGTCTTGAGTTTCTAATGTCTTCTTTAAGTTTTGATTTTCAGTGATGGGATTATTGAAACGTGTGTCTTTGTCACAAAAACAGATTTATTATAAGTCTTCTGTAAGAATGGCAAAATCTGTTGGGTCAGCAATGTACATACAGCAACTTGAATTATCAGTTTTGGTCATGTAGAAAGCTGTGTTAATCAAATGTTTTAGTGGCATAACCTAGTAACTTCTTGCAAGTGATTACAATTGACTACACTTGCTGACTCCTCTGAGCCAATTTAAAAAGGGCCCATTTGATACAGTCATCAGAGTCAGTTACAAACACTACAATGAGAAAGTCTGAGGAGCTCAGCAAAGATCCGTAAAAGCAAATCATTGACTTGAACAAGTTAGGAAAGCCATATGGAGCCATTTCAAAGCAGCAAATCTGTGCAAACAAATGTAAGTATAAAGTGTATGGCACAGTTGTGTCACTCAGAAAGAAAACACAAACTTATCACCTGCTGCTGAGAGACAATTGGTCAGGATGGTCAAGAATCAACCAAGAATCACCAACAAGCAGGTCTGCAATGAATTACAAGCTGCTGGAACACAGGTGTCCACAGTCAAGCGTGTTTTACATCTCCATGAGCTGAGAGGTTGCCATGCAAGAAGGAAGGTTTTTCTTCCAGAAGCAGCACATTAAAGCTCAACTAAAGTTTGCTGCCGATCACATGGACAAAGAAAATGTCTTCTGGAGGAAAGTTCTGTGGTCAGATAAAAAAAAAAAAAAAAAAAAACCGATTGGCCAAAAAGAACAAAAAAAAAGTTGGAAGAAAGTAGGTAAGGCTTGTAACCTCAAGAACACCAAACCTACCCTCAAGCATGGTGGTGGCAGTATCATGCTCTGGAGCTGTTTTGCTGCCAGATGAGCTGGTGCTTTATACGAAGGAAATGAAATAATGAAGAAGGAGGAATACCTCCACATTCTTTAGGAAAACCTCTAATCATCAGACATAAGGTTGGGTCTTGGACGCAGTAAAGACCTCCTTCATTGCTTCATTTACTTTGCATAAAGCACCAACTCCAACAAGACAATGACTCCAAACACATAAAAAATGGTACAGAAATGGCTAAATCAGGCTAGAGTTAATGTTTGTTTAGACTGACCTCCCCAGAGTTCCGATTTAAACCCCATCAAGAATCTGTACGCTGAGATGAAGAAGCAAGCTGGTGTCAGAAAGCCATCAAATTTAATTTTGAACTGCACAAATTTTGACAACCAGAAGCTTGTTTACAGCTACCAAAAGTACATAGTTGAGGCCAAAGGGCATTTACCAAATATTAGCATTGCTGTATGTATATTTGTGAACCAACAGATGTTGTCATATTTCTAGAAGACCGATAATATAAATCTGTGAAAGAACTACAATGCATAATTGTTATATTTATGACAAAGACATACACGTTTCAGTGAGTCCATCATTGGAAATTAAGAGTTAGAAGACACTGGAAACTCAAGACTGCTGTTATATACATGGTCTTTACAAGTGTATGCAAAGCTTTGTTTGCAACTGTAGATTTAGTGTCTCAACAATAAAATGTTAAAAAAGAAAAAAACAACAACAAAGAAAACTAAAGTGTATGTTTAAATTGTCTGATTTTCTTTTAACTAACAGTCCAATACCAAAAGATGTTCAATTTCAAAAATACAAAGCAGCAGATCATCACATTTCAGGAGCTAAAATCAGTGAGTGTTTAGCACAAAGTCCCTGAAAACTTGGTTTCACATCTTGGATTTTCTTAATAAGATTTCTGACTGAAGTACCAACAATCAAAGTCAAGGTATAGATATAAAAAACTAACAAAAAAAACGAGGTAAGCACTTGAAATTCAGCTAATCTGCTTTACAGGATGTTTGGATGAAGTCAGATTTGATTGACAGGATTTGCAACTTCAGCAATGAAACAAGTAAACTGTCACCTGACACTGGCAGTATGTGACTTTATCTTTTTCCAGCTGAGCCCAGCCCACTTAAACCCAGTGAAGAGCACAGAAAAATGCACAAATACAAAATGATCTCATCTGATAAAACCAAAAATGTTGAAACCTTTGGAGAGAAGCAGAATGTGTTTAGAGCACCACATCTCTCTCAGTAAGAAGTTGAGAAGGTAAATTGATTTTAAAATCTGTGCTGCCATCAAATAATCCTCAAAACTAAAACAGAATATACACAAGAATACATTTCTAAAACACGTCTACTTTTCAGTGGTGAGGACAACATTTAGTGGTTATTTCCTGCTTCTAACAGTTGATCAGCACTTTTTAAAATCTTGTCAAAGGAGGTAAGTGAGGGCTGGCAGAGCTGTGGGTGAGGATGTTTCAGCGTTACCTGGCCAGATGATAGCCTCCAGCAGTGTCACCCTGCGAGCCAGAAGCTCAAGGTCTGCCTGCAAGTCGTGGAACATCTGCAAGCTAATGTCCTATCAGAGAGCAGTGACAGGGGGGACTGTGTGAGGGTGTGGAAACGCCAGCCCAAGTCCTGGGGCTGCTCACGACTGTTCCCACTCCCTGTCTCAGCAGTGAGGCTCAGTGGGAGTTTGAGGACCCCTGCCTAAAGCTGACCCTGCCTCAGGCCTCCTACTCACCATGAATACCGATCATAGTCTCAAGGATTAAAACCCTCTCGGCTAAGATCTTCAGCGCCTCTCTGATCTGATGTATTCCGTCCCCCTGTGAAGATAGATACAGCCGTCAAGGTAAGGAGCACAAGCCAAAGAACTGCTCGCCAAGATGCAAGTCATTTTTCTCCATACAGTTCAGCAGTTAGAAGGTTAAAACAGTCCACATATCTGCCCAGCACTGTCAGACATTAACCTGTTCTCCTCTACTGTCTCCCTCATTCTCTAAACATGCTGCTACATGAAGTCAGTCTCTGCCATGCCGGGCTGGGCAACAACATCAGCATGCACATCACAGACCAGCATCATGCCGGTTGAATTGCGCTCTCCCAGGACAAAGATTCGATCATGCCATCTGCATTCTTTCTGTTTGGTAGCAGGTCAGCCAGGCAATTACTTTCAGCTCTGCAGTGTTCATTCTTAACACTGCGCTCACAAAAGTTACCCATTGTCATCGGACAGAATGAAACCAGTGCAGATTGACACTGACAGCTAGTTTGTCTTTAGTTAAAGGATAAAGCAATGGCTTCATGAGTCATACCTTCAAAAATAACAAAAGTACTCGAACAAGAAGTCGGTAAAGCAGACAGAGACAGCTGAGAGCGCCGCCATCACAGAAGAAGGCATGCAGAGAACAGCTGAAGCTTTTAGTGCCCAGGTGAGTGATTCCCAGTACGACATGCTCTGATTAATAAGACAAACCAAGGACAGACTGCATGTTTGAAGAAAAAAGGCAAAGTCACACGAGCAGCGCAGCACTAAGGATCACAATGTCAGGTTGTTGGTTGCTCCTTTGAAATATGTCAACTTTGGGATAAATTTTGTCCATGATGCCAAAAGAAAGAATCCTAATGAGTTTGGGTGAACCTCTTCACCAACAAGTAAGAGACATTTGTGCCTTTTGTGTGAAATATCTTGACAAGTGTTGGATGGATTAGCATGAAACCTGGTACAGGCATTTGCAGTTGTTCCCTCGTGATGAATTGTCATATTGTTATTTTCAAGACATCTTCAGGTTCTTGGTTTATGACCAAATATCACATGAACTAAAGATCTTCCATTCAATTCAGCTGTACTTTGGTGACAGTGCTAATTAGTAGGGAAACAATATTTTCTATAGTATCCAATGTATCAATATTTTCCAACACATTTAGGCAAATTACCAAACCTAATTTATGAACATATTTTTTCCACCTAATTGTAGAGAACATCGAGTCTTTCCTGTACTGCAGTTCACATATTAAAATACCTACTGTTGCCATTATGGCTCACTGGCAGGCAATGCAAACTTAGATGTAAAACATGTCTCTTTTTTTATTTCTATGTAGCACTTTCAAAGCAAGCACCACTTGTGTGCTTCCTGGTGCAACCGTAAAGTCAGTACTGACTCAGCTGTGACCAACAGTTCAGGGACTTTCTGGCTGAAGTGCAGGCTGTGCTTATTACTTACAAATGGAAGTAGCAAAATATCTGTAATATGTAGAGTCACCCGTTTTTTTGAGTATGTGGTCTGGGTATGTGGCACCTGTGGGCATTTAAAAAAAGAGCTGTACGTGTTCATCCCTGGCTTTCTCAATGTTCGTAAAAAAACAACAAGAAATTATTATTATTTTTGTAATGATTTATGGCATTATAATTCTGTGATACTGCAGCAAAATATATATTTTTTGAGTATTTTCTACTTGTAGTTGTGGTTGTGTTGTTTCCATAGAGGTGTATGACTTTATATTGCAGCGAACAATGAGGCCACAGTAAGTAAAAATTTGACAGTAGCAGAAAAACGCCCAGAAACTACTTGGAATTCAAAGGGTTATTGGCCAATGCTAATGATGACACTAAGTCTAGCGTACATCTCTATTAATAAGCAAATGTCAGCGTGCTAACCCACTAAACTTTGTACATTGTAAGTATCATACCAAAGTTAATCCCCAAATAAAACTTTAGGAGTTTCGACCTACTTTGCCTTTTTTCAACAGCACTGTGTCATTTTTCGTAGCTGATTTATACATTCAGAAAAGAAAGTCTATGTGGTGAAGTTAGAGACAAAAGCATGCAAGGTTGCATTGTGGGAGAAAAGAGGATAGCTGTATCCACTCCACTCACATCAGAGCACAACACCTCTAAACCCAACAGGACCCACCACTGACACATATGGAGTGATTTGGCATATACATTTCACACATTAACTTTGTGGTTCATTGAAACATTTTGACGTCTGCAAAATCAAACAAAAATGATCAGATGTGCTGTTGAATTCAAATGAAATAATTAGAATTTTGCAAAGATTTTTGCTTTATTTTGCATCTTTTCAGTCCGTCAGACCTGGTGTTGTTTGGTATATTTATATGTATATGCCAAAGTCAGATGCTGAAAAGGTGACTGTGAAAGGTAGCCATGGGGACAGTAGCTTGCAGAGGGAGTCAGACAGCTTTAGGGTCAAGAGGACAGCAGTCCAGAGCACACCCCAAGGACCGACAAAAACACATTAACACACAAAATCACACGGATCAAAGGCTACAGTCATATATGATTAAACATAAACAACAATGTTAAACAGACACTTTATGACTACAGGTAGGAAAGTATGGGCTTGAGAGAGAAAGAAGATGCAGCTGAACACCACTTTGTGGCCAATCACAACCATAAACATGGTGATTGTAAGGACGTCGTAACCATAACCTGAGACGTTGGTCATGGTTACACTTCATTTAGGTCACTGAATAGATTCATTACATAGAAAAGTGAACACGTGATGACATGAATAAAAATATCTTACATTTAGATTGCTCTTGTAAAATGAGAAGGAGGTAAAAGAAAAGTACGGGTTAGACAGACAGAAAACATTTAATGCTCAGCAAAGGAATCTTAAATTATTATTTTTTTAAAATCTGAAAATCTTCCCGTCCAGAGCCATGTCAAATTATGAACAACCTCCAACTGCTTTCTTACCGGTAAGCCCTTCTCTCCCGGCTCTCCCTTGGGACCTGGTGCTCCCTGTGAAGAAACGTTAACAACAGAGAAAAAATGAATCTGACCTCAAAACACTGATGAAAGCTGTGCAGCAGTTTGCGGCAACAGAAAGAGCTCTTTCTCTTTCTGATTGTGTTGTCGCTGGTCAGCGTGGTTTGTGGTGCTGCTGCTGAATGTAGCTTACAGTAACATAACCAGCTATGACATTTGTTGACGTCCCCCCCCCATACATTCGTTCTCTCAGGAAATAATCCTCAAGGCAGCAGAGGTGGAGGTGGCTTACCGGCTCGCCTCTGAAGCCCCTCTCTCCTGGGTAACCTAAAGGACCCTGAAAAACCAAAGGCACATCTCAGAAAGTTGTTAAATGAAGAAAACTGACTATTGCACTCTCCAGATTCGACGCAGGTAAGATGTTCCTGAGTGCAATGATTCTCTTAAATATTACATATGATGAACAATGTAGGAACAAGTTAGCAATACTATGAATCACGATACAAACAAACACTAGAATCTTTAATAAGAAGCCTTGTGTGGTGTCATTACTGTAATTTGTTACGGATGTATAATATTTCAAGCTGTGAGAACATGATCAAATGGTGACTGTGTTTTATGTACAAGATATTAAACAGTCTGGCTTCTCTGCTCTTTTGGCCTCCAGGAAACAAAGAGTTTTTTAATGTATTTTTTGATACCACATGACAAGACTGGAATATTTACACCAAGGTGCATAAGAAACTGTTTTTACACTGATTTAAAGAGCTGTATCCTTAGTCGTCAAATCGCTGCACATTAGAACATTGTCATTGCTATCTTGCCAAGAAACCTGTTGAAAATATAACCTGAGAACTGAGAACATGAATGCTGCCAACTGCTTCCTATTTGTAGTACTGTTTTATTGTATTGTATGACATTGTGTTCTTTTGCTGCATTTAAAACATTTAATCTTTTGTATGTGCTGGAAGATAAAGATTTCTCTCCAAGCCTGTCTTTGAAATGAGTAAACTAATCTAAACTAGACCGAGTGTACTCACTCTCTCCCCACGCTCTCCCTTTGGCCCCACAGGGCCTTGTGTTCCAGGAGCTCCAGGTTTCCCCTGTAGTGGGTCAGAAAGGAAATTCAAGATGACAAAGACACATTTGCACAGACAGTGCTAAACTCCTGCAGTGCACCACTATGCTGTGAGCGGACTTACGTTCTGTCCTGCTGGGCCGGGTGGTCCTAATGGGCCTTTAGGACCTGGAGGACCTGCATGAATATTTATAATAGCACATTAGTTTTGCCTGGTGAGGAGCAATGAGCTCAACTCAACATGTGCAGAGAACCTGCAGGTGTTTATGACTTCTAAGTGCAGCTTTTAGGGATGTTTGTCTTTGAGACCTTTAAGAATAAGCATTTTTTTCCCCTTCATTTAAAATGACAGAAACTGAATCTACAACTTTCTGACAGAAGCAAAAAGAGACTTAAGTTAGACACCAAACAACATCATCAACACAGAGAACGCTGAATAAACTGTATATTATTGGTAAGTATTATTTACAGTGTGCCGCTACTGTGTTCATTTCCAATATCAGAGTCTTTGCGTGTATGGATAGATGTTACCCAACCACCACACAAACATCCTGTGTGCAGTATGAAGAGGCCAGTAAACACTCACCGATAGGCCCGGGAGGACCCTGAGGTCCTGGAACAGGCAACCCTCGTGAGTCATGGAAAGTGTTGGTGAAGAAGGGGTCTTTTCCACGATCTGGAGTTGAAACAAAATGTGCGTGCTTAATGGGATGCAGAAGCTAGTCTCCTGGCTATTTGCAGTCCTGGCAAAGTGGAAACAAGCTACTAACTATCAGTTAGTAGTCCTGATTTTGAGGCTTCACTACAGAGACAAGCTTCTAATGACTACATGAAGTGTGCGTTTTTGCATTGTGTATAGTTGATTTTATTTAATCTGTTCTAATTATGGGTTTGAATAAGTGCAAAGACTGTCGGCAAATCCAAAGTGCACTGCCACAACACGAGCATTTTAATGTGATTCACTGTGTGATTGCAGATGTGTCCTGTGGTTTTGAAAGAGTTCATACGATGCTGCTTCCACACAACCAAGCTCCAGCAATCAAATAGTATTTTAGTTACATTTATTGATGCTGATGTTTTGGATCAGGTCCCTGGTTGCCATTTGAGTGTGGCGAGTTTGATAAATGAGCCATGATTGTTATGTATCCTGAGAGAAAGTGCTCCCTGGGAAGTGAATGTGGGAAAATGCATTGTTCTCACAGAAACATGAACTTCTGGGTTTGCTGCCGGGGTGGACAGGTTCTCATATCAGCAGTCAAGAAGCGTTTCAGCGTGCAACATTTTGCTTTTGTTTTTGTGCGACTGTGCCAGACGCGCCTAGTAACTATTCTGGCGAATGTTAAGCAACCCTACTGTGTTGATGCTGCCTCATAAGTTCAGCTCAGCCCAGTGAAGTTTGACAAACCAGCATTACCTGTAGGGGGCAGTGTTTCCCAACAAACAGTTCACCTCATGACTTCAACAGGGTAGTAAACCAGACTAAAATGTATTCTAAAGCACTGTCAGCAGTAGATCAGAGTTTGATATTCATTAAAAGTTATATAATTCGGCATAAATTTCACTGTGTAACAGCTCTGAATGGACACCCACGACTACATGCGTCCACACAGAGAGGACAAGAGGAAGAGGGTGGTGTACGTGTGAGTGATAGAGGAAGTGTGCGGTCATTGGGTCACTTCATACTGACAGGAAACACGGATCCGATCACAACATGAGGCTTCAGGAGATACAGAGACGAGGAGGAGGAGGAGGAGGACTAACAGCCAGAAACGTCCTCCGGCTGCCAGATCACCGCACACCGCGAACAGATCAGGACCTGAGGTGACATCCAAACCAGGGCCGGCCTCTCTCTGTATCTCCAGACACTGTTTTCATTTCCTACTCAGAGCAAACTGGGATCTGTGGCTTAACGTGACATGAAGACATGCAGGAGCACCGACGAACACTGAAATCCTTCTTTTGAACAGGCCTCCTCTTCGCGATAGTGTTCTGCCTGCTGCTTCAGCAACCCTCTCCTGTTCTGCAGAAGGGAATTCCAACATCCTAATGCAGATGTAGAAGCCAAATAAGCCAGTGTTTTCCAAAGGAAGCTCAGCACAGAACCGCCCCCCCTCTATTCCTATGCTCCCTACTGTTACTTTGATGTGAAAGAAAACGGCCCACAGTCTCGGAAGTCATCATGCCAACCTCAACGTCCCTGCAGCTTTCTCCACACAGGAACCCGGAGCTTGCAAATCTGTTTGCTGCATACTTTGTTTTACCACCGAATCTACGTATAAAACCCGCCCATGAGTTGACCTTGAAAGAGCCGCGGTGGGCCCCCATCTGTGTGTCTCACCCCCCCCACCCCCACATCTGTCTGAGCGGCCTACATCTGGAAGCTGTTGAGTGACATCAGTGGTGAACAGGTTCTCATCCCAGCAGTCAAGTCTGTCTGTGTCAATCTCACCGTCTCTGCCTCCATCTAACACTCTTTGATTCTGCTCTACTTGGCTGGTGGACAGCGAGGAGCAAGTAGCAGCTACAGTCTGAACGTCATCCTGACTGTTTCTTATTCTCCTTGTTTCTTTGGAAGGCTTTTAAAGACACACAAATATTGGTTTGAAGTGGAAGTCTGTAATAAAAAATAAAAAAAAAACCTACGTGACCCTGAAGGAGATCAAAGGCTCTGACTGAATCTGTGTACACGCACAGCCTGATTTGGTTGGGATGTGGGGTCACGTGGTTTGGCTTCAAAAGACACCACTTCATGCGAGGAGGAAGTAGTGAAGTGGTTGTCTGACATGGATGTACTCACCGTTAGGATTTTTGACCTTTGGGAGAGTTCCAGGTCCATAAAAATAAGGTGTGAGAATTCATAAGGAGAAACCATATCAGCCGCCCAATTTTTTATAAACCCACAGAAGAGGAGGAGAAAAAAAAAATCACATAAAAATGAAATATGCAGGAAGGAAAGGGGAAGTGCGCTGATTTATAAAGTCTTTTGTTTTACCAGTGGGAGCTGCATGAAGTCTGAAAAGTTGCCTCAGGTGAAATCAGCTGAGGCAGCGTTGGTTGGGTCTGATGATTAGGAGTTTGAAAATGAAACTTCACCGACTTCAAACTTTGTTTCTCAGCCATCTAAACCCCAAAACCTGCTAGCGGGTTTAAAAGGTTTCTTCTTTTTAAAAATAAATGGCCAAAATGACACAACCCATCAGTGCCAGAAGCTGTAAAAACCTGAAAGAAATGTTGGATTTTCAACTTTCTGATGATCACTGAATGCATCATGTTGAATGTATGATGTGTGGCTCCATCTCAAACAATGACAAAATCTGAGCTTGAGATTGTGACATTTGACCAAAATCACTTTTTTCTACATGTTTGATTTAAAAAGTAGTGAAAAATGAAGCATTTGCATGAACCAGATCGGGTAAAAAACTACACATTCTGCACTCCTCAGCACAACCGTGACACTATTAGTGACGCAGCTGCAACAAATGATCACATTTTTCAAGTGAACTGCAGGTTGTGTTCATACAGAGACAAGTACGAAAATAAATCAAATATGTAAGCAGTAAAATATCTGTAGCATGTAGAGTCGTCATTTTTTGCAGTATTGGTAACACTTGTGGGCATTTGGGGGGAAAAAACATAATAATTCTAGATGATTTCAGTTTTTTTAAATAAATAATGAAGGAAATTTTACTTTAGCTTTGATATCATTTATTGCATTAAAGCTTTGTTAAACTCACAGAGGGCATTGTGAGCGTCTCTCCTTCTTCATGGTTGTGCTGATTCCACAGAAATGCAGGACTTTATATTGGAGTGAAAAACGAGCCCACAATGAGTAAAAATGTGACAGGACTAACAGAGGTCCAGACAGTGTTTTGGGTTCAGAGGGTTAAACAGTCCAGCGAGAGTCTGACAGAGTTAAAGCCGAGCACCGTTAATTTGTCAGCTACTCTTTTGAGACGGATTCATTAATATTTATTTTTAATTTTACTGGTGTTTCTGCCTTTTTTTTTTTATTGGATAGACGGGAAGAGAAACAGGAAATGTGGGGAAAGAGAGCAGGGGAATGACATGTAGTAAGGGTCCAGATCTGCAATTAAAACAGTGAGTCACCGCGGACGTCCATGTGGTACGTGTCCCAACCACTCAGCTATCGGCTCACCCCACACAAAGAGTACTTCGGCCCATTTATTGTGGAATTTGTGTCATGCTGACTGTATGAAGTCTGTGAGTTGTCCGGGGTCTTACTGTGATCTGGTTCTGGGATGTGGGCACTGGCTGGCGCTGGGGGTCCCGGAGGCCCCGGTGGGCCAGGCGGGCCCGGTAGACCCCTGTCTCCTGGGAGTCCTGGTGGACCACGGGGGCCTGAGAGGAGGGATGACAGAAAAATCACTGCGGTGATAGACACACCGTACTGTAGAGGTATGTCGTAGCAAAATATGATCTTAAAGTTTCTCCTGGAGAGACACAGCTCAAGGCAGACTGATAAATGACTGTGGGTGATGTGACGAAAGGAGGATAAACTCTGACAGAGACCAGAGAGGAAAAAGATTAGATAAAGTGTTGAGTGATACAACATAATACTGTCTGGCAGGAGCGAGTGCTTTTATATCTGTGTGTGTGTGTGTGCGCACATGTGGAGTAGCTGGACGGAGAAGGAGACGACGTTATGAACTGGCTGACTTTGTTTCTCTGTAATTAACAGGAGGAGGCTCTTTAATGGTCCGGTGCTGGGAACTTACTCAGGGACACAGGAAAACTCAAATAAACACCATTAAACTCTGCAAAGTGTTACTGGCACAGGCTCACAGTGAATTAAATGCTCCCTGCGTACACACCGCTTGCTTTTGTACATGTGTGTGTCAGAAACAGCCCGTAGCTGCTCCATATGGGCCGATTAGTGAACGCGTCCCTCCTCCTCCTCCTCCTCCAGCCATTATTTGGAAAAAAGCACCAGCGCAACATCTGACCTCATTGTTTGGATTCTCCTGAGGTAATGCTGCCAGCTGAACTCCACCTCTCGGCCTCTGACAGACACAAACTCACCACCTTTTTCTATACGTGCTGATGCAACTGATGATGACAGTTCTCTAATCATGTCTTTGCAAGGAAAAGTTTACGCGGCTCTGATTTGATACCTCCGCGGGCCATTTTTTTTCTCCTTTTTAAACACTGCAGCGTAACCGGCAGTGTTTTGGCTGCTTCAGGGAGATTGTAAGCAACAATCCGCAGCACAGCGGTTCAAATGGTCGGCCGATGTGACATATTAGGCAAAACAATTACAGTTTTTCCTGTAGCATAATGGTTCCCTGGAGCTGCTGCGACAAAATATGACTCAACGTTTACAATACAGCTTATCAGGACTCATCACAACATCACTTCTCCTAGCAGCAGACTCTTTTCTCCCATCCTTACCATAACCCTGGCTCGAGAACATGTTTGTCTACATTTTGCATGACGCTGGACGCATTCCAGCCTCGTGTTTATCTTTCTCTTTAAATGGGAAAAAAAAAAAAATCCTGCACAATAAGAAAAACACAGCACTGCTTTTGGATACTTATGAAGTAATGGAGATAGAAAAAACAATAACACCACAGGCATATGGAAATCATAAGGGCCTGGGATTTGTGTATGTATAGCTCATGTTCATTTTCAGATTGAAGTCACATGGCGCTTCTCAGAAAGTAGGTTTGTAGTTTAAGTTTCGCTCTAAATCTCATCTTTACCCAGCAGCAGGCACAGAGCAGGGGTCATGCGTTAGCCTGAGAGGAGAGGCGCTCCCTTCATGATCCGGAGGAATAACAGCCTATAGCCGGAGCAGATGTTGTGACACACTTATCCCGCCATTTACTTTATTCATCATTCAAGTCGCGGCTGCCTTGAGGATTTTCCCCAACAGGTCATTTATTATTTGTACATAACCAGCGAGCTCTAAAAAAACACAGAGCAGCTTTATGATTCAGTGTCTGGTCTGGCTGGGTGACCATGAACAAGCAGCACATGTTGGGGAGTCTATATGTAGTCTGAAAACAAATACTTCTGCTGCCCACTGGAACAGCACTTTTAGAAACGTATGATTTTAACAGCCAACCAACAAAATGCCCAAATTCCAGTAAGTTACCAGCAAGCCTCAAGGGCCGCTGGAATGCTTCACCATTTACCGCCGGAGGGTCTGCGGGCTGACCGAGAGAGTGAAGAGAAAGACAAACGCTGTGGAGTAGGACATCACAGGTCAGCTTTTTTTGCCAGAGATCTCTTTGGTCTTTGGTTAACAATGTGCCATTCCAATGTCCTGTTCTACAATTAAGTGCACAGACAAGTAAACAACACTTTACAACATGCATCAACCAAAGATAAGCTTCATTTGTTCCTCCCACTTCGCAGCTGTCTGCTAACAATGAGCCGAGTGTGTTTCCACCCTCTCTCCTCTCTTACCTGCTGGTCCCTGGGATCCTTTCAATCCAGGGGTTCCAGATGGGCCCCTCGTCCCAGCCTCCCCCCGGGGCCCACTGGGACCTGGCAGCCCTCGAGACCCTGGCTTCCCTAAGAGGAGGAAACAGACACGAGTAATCACTGAGCCTTAACTGGTTTACATCTTCAGCGGTTTCACGTCAGCTGAAAGGCAACTATGGTTACAATTTACCATCTCTGCCAGGAAGCCCATCTCTCCCCTTTTCACCCTGAGGACCTGAAATGAAAACAGAAAGGTGGCTTAATTGAGAGTTTTGGCTCTGTGAAAAAAAAAAAAAAATCTGAGCTCAAGCCACCTGGAGAAGAGGTTGTGTAAAATCCAGTGAGGCATGAGGTGCAGTTCTGTCCCAGTAATAGAGCAGCGTGAGCGCCAAAGTACTAAATATCTGTATTATTTAAAGAAAAGCAACACTTTTTATAGCTTTTAAAGGAGCAATTAATTTTGACTCTGTGGATGGATTTTTTGAGAATGATGTCTGGTTGAAAGATTTTCTGTTAATGCTGCTGTTCGTTAGGTTTTGGTGATTGTTCAGTGCGAAGCTCTGGCTACAGTGATGTTAAGAAGTGCTCTCTTAGCTAAAGGGGAACTCCAGGAACTCTTTTACCTCAAGAGATGTTACTTGAATCACAATCGGTTAAGGACTTATTAGACTAAAGCCCCACTAGAGTAGAGTAGCCTCTTGAAGGAAGCGTCTACAGACTTAACACTATTCAGAGAACCTTAACATGCAGCGGTGCTGGAGAAAGAGAGAGTAAAATCACAAATTCGCTTGGTAAATTTCTTAATTTTTGCACATTTGCATATGACAGGTTTCATCTTTTGTGCAAAGATGCACTTTGACCTGAGGGTGGCGCTAGAGGAAAGCTAAAGAGTCCCCAAAAGAGAAAAGGTTTATCCTCTGGGTAGAATGAATAAATCGGAAATAGAGCTTGCAAAAAAAAAAATTAAATGCAACTGTGCTGTTAGACGTGAACATTTCAGAGTATGGCACCTCCATGTAGTAGCATATGAGCCTGTATGTAGTGCACTATGTTTAGCACTAGATTTACCCTCTGTTTGAATTCTGAGTGCGAACGGTTTATACTTTACAGAAAACATTCCACAAGGGAACAAAAACAATCCCCCAACACAATGTGTTTTATAGATGCAAAAACATCCATGTGTCTGGTACACAGGGAGCAGAGAATGAGTGCATCAGGGAGTGATTCTGGACACAGCGCTGGACTGGGCTCCTTTTTCACCACCATTGTGTCATTTCATATAAATGAAAACTTACGCCATCAGAGTCATAATTTCAAAGATCCTATAAACACATAAAATTCCTTCACACTGCGGCTAAAACGGGGCATTTTCATATAACTGATGCACTTTTTTCCCTTCTTCTTCTTCTTCTGACAGTGTAGCGGAGTGAGTAAACTGTGTGTTTTTAGCCGTAGCCAGCGCTGGGCTCGACTCCAGGAAAGGAGAGGACTTCCACACAGCCACAGAGCGCTGAAAGTGAGCAGCACAGACAACTGGGCTCTCGCTTTTGTTAAAGGAAATGAGTGTGTGTGTGTGTGTGTGTGTGTGTGTGTGTGTGCAGTGGAGGAAATAGGATATGAGCAGAGGTGAGCAGGTAGTGAGCAGAAAAAAAGCAGCAAGGAGTGATTTCTGACTCAATTATCCAAACACAAAACCCCGAACTCCGCTTAATGGAAATATGCAATTTAAAAAAAAAGAAAATGTATTTACGTATGACAGCGCGATATACCGACCTGCAGGCCCCTGCTCACCAGGAGCCCCCTGAGCGGGCACGGCCCCCATCAGTAGGGAGGCCTCAGGAACGCTTCCTCCTTTGCTCTGAAGGTGGCGATGTGACGTGGAGGCCGGTGCTGTGAGTACCTGGACCTGGTGTAGGAAGACGTAAAACGAGTGCAGGAGATGAAACAATGTGCTTGTTTATTGTAAGCTTGTCATATTTATTAGGTTTTAAAGATGCTGTGACTGAGTGAGTCTTCACCTTCGCCTCCAGAGAGTTCAGCCGGTCACTCAGAGCTGTGATTCGACTGCAGTTGAGACAATCTAAAAAACAAAAAACAGCTTTCCTTATGTCATGAATCAGACGTTTAAATATGTCGCACATCTATGATGTTTCACTGTCTTGTCAAAGTATTAACAGGTTTATAATTCTTACTAGAGATGGACTCTCCTGTGCGAGCAGGCGGCCGGCGGAGTGTGGATGGTTTCCTCACTGCCTCTTGAGCCACAAGCTGGTTCCCTGCATCTGTAACAGAAGAGAAAGAAGGAAAAAAAAGTCAGTTCTGTGAGTTGGAATTAAAGTGGATGGGACTTCTCAAGCTTGAAAACGTAATTTTTGGATTCAGAGATTTCTATTTCCTTCCATATGCAAGACGAATGTAAAATGTTGGGTCACGATTCGAAATTCCCACAAGGATTTGTTCGGTTGTTTGATGTTGCAATGCCTCGCTGTAAAAAAAAATTAATGGAAACTAGTTCAAAAGAGTTTTGCAATATACTGAGGACATTAGAGCTGAAGGATGGATTGACTCATCAAATGCTCCTTTCAGCAAAAACACCAAGGATCATCTGGTTTCAAGCAAAAGAGACACGAAAACTGCTTGTTTCTCTAAATGCTCATTAACAGGCTCTTACTCCACTGACATGGAAGTTACAGACCCGATCAGGTTCTATCAAGATGAAAGAAACCAGAAATCTGCTCTGCGCTGTGTCTGTCCTGCAGGTGAGCTTCTCACTATTACCCAGAGAGAACCAGAGGAACGTTACCAGTGAGCAGATAAGACAAAAACATAATTCACCAGCGACAGTTGCAGCTTTTGCTTGTGTGTTTCATTTTCAAGAGACAAACAGTTTGCATGCTGCATCTTTGCCAAGTTAACCCTAACCCTCTCCTTCTGCCTTGTTTCTTTATGGAGTATAAAATCACAAGGCCGGGGAGAGAGGGCGTGTAAAGACAAACAATAGTTTCCTTGTGCAAAGAGAATGGGCAGTCTCGGCTCGCATTCTGTCTTGCCTTCATTTTATGAAGTGTGGGAGTTTGTGTCCCAGGGTTCTGGATGTTTTGAATGGGCAGACCTTTGTGGAAATGCTAGACTGACTCCATTGTCTGGCCTGGTCTGGCTCTGGTTGGTCCAGGTGCTCCTGATACAAACAAGAGGCTGGGTTCAGCACCTCATTAGCCACCAGGAAGCACGTCTTTCCATTCAGTGACCAGCGGCCGCAGTCAACGCCAAGTGCTACATTAAAAGAAGCCACGAAATAGCACCTGCAGCGCAGAGCCGAGGCAGGAGATCAGAATTCCTCCGCTGCAACATCAGATGTCATAATCTGTCTCTATCCACTGCAGACTCAGAAAAAGAAAATGGAGAGCTTATTGTCACGAAGGAAAATAAACGTTTTGGAACTTAAGACGCGAATGCATAATGGGTTGAGTGATTACCCAAAGAGAGCCGAGCGAGAGGGCAACGGAGGAGTACGAAAAGCACACAGAACACATGGTTTAGGGTAAATTGAGACTGCTCCAATAATTCCCCCTCCTCAACCTCTGTGCTCATGATTTCACTGTTTTGGGTTCTGGGTATTTCTCAGAGGATTACAAGTGTAGATGGATTTAAACCATGTAAGACCTGAGACTGAAATGTTATGGCAGGAGCTCTAAATTGTAGAAAACTCTTCCACGTTTCAATAACAATATAAACCCTGGACGGCGATGAGGAGAACACACGCTTGAATCTGCTCTTCGCTCTTCTGCGCTGCGCTTCGCTCCACACGGGGGACACAAAGAGAGGCGAGTATGTGAGTACATGTACATGCACATCCCGCAGACTGTTTCTGAGCAGCTCGGCTCGTGTAGATGGCTGCATTCAATTACAAAGAGGGGGCTCCGGATAGGAAACCTAGCTCTCGCTCCTCCCCTCCCAGCAGCACCTCTTCTCCCTCCAGAGCGAAGAACATTCAAGCGCCAAGATCCCCTCACCCACACTCGAGCTATTGTTTGAAGCATTAAGCTGGCTTTGGCACAAGAACCACGGCCTCCCACACACACACCTCATACACACTTTCCTTCTTTCTGTCTTGCAAGAACAAGTTGAAAATCTTTTCTTCTGCATCTCCTGCGACTCAATCACCTGCCGTGTGGTGTGTGCATGCAGCCTGGGACGCCTCAAGCGTGATCCGTCGCTCTGTTGGCCAACAATAACATCATCACAGTTAATGAACGCCCCCTGACGGACACGGTTCATTGTATCCGCTCTTTGATCTCAGTGGGCTAATTGCCCCAGTGGGGGGGTCAAAGAAATGTGTGAACGTATTTGACCTTTTTACCCCAATGTTGCGCCGGGCTCTAATCAGCGACTGAGTCAGAGCTCTTCATTAGAAGAATACTCCCGCGGAGAGTTCAGCGGGCCAGAGGTTGTGCTGACATCAGCCGCCTCTCGTCCTGGTTTTTGCTCTCACACAGTTTAATATTCTGTTTACAAACACTGTCGAGATAATCTTTGCTCCTGCTGGTGCAATAATCCCAAAGGGAAACGAGGAAGATATAAGCAAAGGTCACAAGTTTCGTAACGAGTCCATATTCTGTTTGTGCTCAAGTGCACGATGGCAAAGTTGTTCTGTAGCAGCAGGAAAAGGTGTCTGATTGTTGTGGGGATAATCTGAAGTTTATCACGGAGCTCTGAGGCCCTCCAAAAGTGGAGGGGAGTCAGTGCACACACTGAGTGTTTCTAAGCATGTCAGCGGGGGGCTAAGGTTAGACAGAGCGATGAAATGCTTTGCTGAAATCTGGGCAATAGGTCCGCCAAACCACACATGTAGAGCCGCGAGCCTCAGCCTCAGCTCTTTCTGCTGCCTTTCCTCTGGTTCACACCGCGAGATGCAATAAAGACAAAACACTGCAAGTGAGTAAACTGTTCTTTGCATCTCATATCCCGACGGAGAGAAGCTGGAGTTCACACGTGGAGATAAATGTGCCTTAAATGTGCTCTGAGTGGTCTCATTTGATTTTGCTGGTAGAATACACGTTTACTTTGTGGGTACTGGAGAAAAAACCTGCAACAAAGTTCAAAAAGTGTGATGCAGACGGGAGGAGAGATGGTAACAGACTGTTTTCTTATGCCAAGCGTGAACAGAGCCAAAGGGGGAAGCCCTCAATCTGAACTTACTGCTCTCCAGACGATGCGACTTTTTCAATCTGGATTCCACAAAAAGCATTAACAACCTACTTTCACTGCTATATCAATATAGTTTCTGCTATGGCAGCTTTATTGCAAAGTTATTATGCTTGGCCTTAAAAAACCCACTTGAAACTCTGCGGGTATCACCAGAGTTGAAGCCAAACACACGGCGACCAGAACTCCAGCTGCAGCGCTCACAGTACGGTCTAAGGTGTGTGTGTGCACGTGCTCTCGTGTCGGGTTTTTGTCGGTGTGAATGGGAAACTGCCGTTGTGACAAACACACACACACACAAAGACACCCACACACACACACAGGCTGTATTATTAATGTGCCAAGGTCATTCATTCAGTGATACTCTCCCAGTGAAAATAAACCGAATGCTAAGAGCCCAGTTAGTCCTGCCAACCAGAGCCCTTAAACACACAGCTCACACTCAGCTGCACTGACGGCCAGATCCTCAAAGCTCATCACCTCCTGAGGTTTATTTGTTCTCCGCTTCTGCAGAAAGATTCCGCAGACAGGCAGACGGACTTAACGAGCTTTATGAATGTACGAGCGAAACCCTTGTTGTTCCGTCTGCAGCTGAGGCTGGATGAACATCTGAAGACACGCTGGAACGGCCCAGCAAGGCTCGTCCGCACTGTTTTCCAGAAGTTCACTGTGTTATCTCAAAGTTTGAGGGGAGATGCAGGACGCGGTCTGGCAGCAGCTGTGAACGAAAACATCAAAACACACAAACACGCGGGCGCGAACAGCAGCGAGCAGACACAGCAGAGCGGAAGGTCCTGATCCATCTCTGTCTGGTCAATTAGCTGAGCTCAGCGCTGCAGCATCATTAGTGTCCAGGTGCTGACAGGCAGCCAGGCGAAGCGTTTGTCTCTGTCTCTACACCGGACGGACTATAGACTGCTGCTGCTGCCTTCAGATAAACACACACACACATACCCAATCTACTCACTGCACTCCGAGAAAGAAGCCAAGCTGAACAAGGCGGCTACTCAGAACATATGTTTGCTGACCGAGCAGTTTCTTTTGTCTATTTTTCAATCCAAAAGAGACAAATTGAGGTCATGTGATCCTGTTGTGCCATTCTGCTCGTGTTTCTCTATTTTCTCCTCCAATAACAATTTAATCTCTAAAAAAAATACATCTGCACAAGGAAAAATAAATCAACACAACAACCATTCAATTGTAAATTCTAATGCATTTGCATTAAATTGGCGATAACCTGCCTCCACCACACCTGAATGAATTTAAAGTAGACACTGTCACTGTCCCTATTCAGTAGTTTGGGAGAAGTAGTGCAGAATAGTTCATCTAACTTGTTTATACAGCAGCTTTTAGTGTATTCAGTTTATTAGGATGACAAATAAGACTTAATTATATGAAAATCAAATTCTTTATGTGCCTCAGTTACTATGTGGCAGCCACCAGAACCCAAGGAAAGCTCAACATCAGGCTGTTTGATCAGCAGCAGAGGAGCACAACACATATTATATTTATAATTCAGCTCCAGCCAACAGTTCTTTCATTGAGCGAGGTGCAATTTAATACAAAACCCACCTTAAAATGAATCCTCTCCTCAAAACAAAGGCCAACGCTCAACCCGCTCTAGCAGATGAGGCATCAGGCATAACATAACAGATCCACACCATATACAGTTTCTTTGTCTGTGTCTTTATTAATTCAGTGTTTTCACTTTAGTCACGGTGGGCTGCCACAATACCACAGAAACCACCGTACTTCAGAATGATTTCATCGAGTTCGTAGGTTTACAGAATTGAAATCTGGGGAAAAGACAGCAGTGGAATAGGATCAGTATTCAGGAATGTGAACGGGTATTGACAGAAAAAAAAAAAGATGCGTTTCTTTGATGGTTGGCTCAAATCACTCTCAGCTGGTATTAAAGTGTATTAAAACAGACCCACCAGCAGCTCCTACCTCCCATACAGCTGACAGCTCTCAGTCCGACCAGTGCAAACCTGCGTCTGAACTCTGGCGTTTACTGTGCTTTCCCAGGGTCGCAGGTTTCTTTTATTAGGTGATCGGCTTAAAGGGTGGGACACAC